GTCAAGTCCGCCGAGGCTAATCAGGCCTTCTACCCTCCGGGAATGGTAAATGGTACCAGATTCGTCTGGTAGGAGAGGATAAAACACTGACCCGTACAACGGCTGGCCCCGCAAGTCATTGTATAGGCCACATCACATTCAATAAGCCACTACGATTCCTAATGGAAGCAAAACGCGTGCCGGATCCCGCAAAGGTATTGATCAACGGCCAAGACTTTATCTTACTTCGCGCCTTTATTTCCTTTCTTAAAGCACTAAACTTTTCCAAAGATTGCTAAGCTTGCTTCCGCGTTAGGGGCCAGCTATAGGGCGCAAAACGCTGGTCATAAAGATGGTCCTCGAAATTAATACCGATGACAAATACTGACCGGGCTTACCTTTTTCTTGTTGTAGTTGATAGTAGTAGTGATGCCGAGTTGCAAAGAAACTAAAAGATGCTAATCGCTACCCCTTAAATAGCGTCCGACGTGTTATGAACGATATATTTTCAGATTTATAAAGAAGTTCTACGAAAACACAGACGTCGCAATCTACGAGATACATAAATAACTCGGCTGTATCGGATCGCTCAAGCATGAAAACTTAAAGACGCGCTCAGCAATTACAAATTGTTTGCTGTTCAAATAGTATTAGGTTTTGTTGCTAAGTCTTATACACGAACTTTTTTTGTAAATATGCTAAAAACGAACCAGCACTGGAAGATTAGAGGTAGCATCGAATCGACTCGCTCGACGCCACGCTCAGGTAACTTGTCGAATTCAAAACCTGCCAGAACGACGGGGGGGGGTGGCTGGGACTTGAAGAAGTCGTCGAGCGCCTTTCTGACCTGATCCTTTGTTTCGAACTTTTTTCCGTCCAGATAGCGCTGCAGGTGGCTGAACAGCCAGTAGTCAGAAGGAGCGAGGTCAGGGCTGTAGGGAGGGTGGGCGACCATCAGCCATCCGTACTTCTCCAGCTCGGCCTGGGTCGCCTTGTGAGGTCGGGCGTTGTCATGGTGGAAGTAGATTTCCGCATTCCTTCCACGAGTACGGTCGACGTGATCTTTCAATTTCCGCAGCTGGGTCACGTATGTGGAAGCATCAATCGTCTGCCCCTTCTCCACACTCCCCCAAAGTATTCCATGCCTCTTCTGGACCACCAACAGGACAGGAGAACCTTTTTGGGGTAAAGGTCGGCCTTTGGGGTGGCTTCTGGCTGTTCTCTTTTGTCACCCACTGCGCTGTCCTCACAGGGATTATCCTAGAGGACGACCACTTCCCACTTTCCCGCGTGTCATCGAGTTGAGAAAGTGAAGCCTCTTTTGGAAAGTGAGGAGAGAAGTGCAGGTGGTCACCCTCCTCGAGAGGTCATAAGCGGACAGTTCATGTGGGACCCATCGACCAAGCTTTGCTACCTTGCCGAGCTTTTCTAGTCCACGTGCATCGTCGGATGATCATAGCTAAGCATGGTCGCCATTTCTCTGGTGGTGAGGTACGGGTCCTCCTCCGGTGGAACGTAGTACTTCCAAATCCAACTCCATCGGCCGACCCGACCTCGGAGCATCTTCGAGAGAAAAGTCTCCTTTCTTGAATTTGGCGAACCAATTCTTGCATGTCATGTAAGAGATGACGTCCTCACCGTATGTATCCACCAGCTTGGTATGGGCTTCCTTTGCATTCCAGCCGAAATCGTGGAGCAAAACCAAACAGTGGCGCAGGTACGTTTTGTCACAGTGCAAATTGTGCGACATTGTGTACTGCAAATGCAAGCTCGGTGAGTGATAGCTAGTGTAATGAAAGAGTATAATGTACAAGTCATGCACACGTGATGACGTAATACCAACAACGAAATAAGAGAGGATCAAACACGTGTATAAGAACTTATGCAGCAACCTAATAAATTCGTTTAATATCGTAGTTTCAAAGGCACTCTGCGACTACTTGGTAGGTATTAGAAGCCGTCATGCATGTAAGACAGGAAAGTATGCAGCCGCAAATAGTGTAGCGTTTTGCCACTTGCCACTCGGAAAAGCGTAGCAAGAACTTAAGGTGCAGCATCTGAACTGTGTTGGAGTCTTCATCGGTCTGGCTCTACCATTAGTAACAGATATACACTCCTTATCCCTGAGCCAGAGTAGGCGTGGCATTTGAACATGGTACGGAACTGGTTACTCGTGGAATATTTCAGTCTGGGACAACTGTCATCTTGTTCTGTGTTGGACAGAGATACGACAACGATTGTGGCCGCAGACGAAAAACAACATATCTCACCAGCAGCATGGACCTCAGATCTAAGTTGAAACGTGCGGCCACGCCTACCCGACCTCAGGATTTCGAGTATACACCTGCGCTGTCCGGATCAGACGGACAAGACTACCGTAATTTGCCGCGTGGTCGCTCGCGGCATTTCGTGCGGCCATGCGCGACGAATTCCCAGCGTGTGTCAGTTAGCCTATTAGAGCAGCGAAATTCGCACGAGTTTGAGTGGAGACAAGAGTCCATGACGGGCGATATCGCATTTTTCATCCCTCCTACACTCAAACTGGAACGGCTGGGCAGGACGACTAGACCAGAACGACGACTAGTACGTCGGGTGTACCGTGGCTCCCCACACGCACCAGCATGGGATATTGCGATACTTGTCTCGAAACCCTACTGGTGGGTGTTGGCAGAGCCCATGGACAACAGGCACGACTGTCTGTCTCCGTCACGCATGCTGAAGTTGTCTCTGCCCGTCTCCTCCCCGCAATGACTGGCTTGTCCAATGCTGAAAAGTAACTGCACACATGTTGTTCCACGTCTTTTGCGGCGTTTCCGCTCACAATAGCCATTGGTCAGGCTGTCGTACGACCACTCGAGTTCCCTGCTTTCCTTCACAGCCTAGTTTTCATTTCTTGAAAATTAATGACGAAATACCGTAAGAAGGTTTTTTAAGGAATGAGGTGTTGGTGTGCCAGAGACTTACTTGAACAAAATAATTTATTCGGTACAAATCAATTAAGCAACAGATTTACATGTGTCAGCACAATTCGGTACAAATCAATTAAGCAACAGATTTACATGTGTCAGCACATCAAACAAGCAAGAATATGACATGGTGGAACCGTACAGCCTCAATCGAGTATTTATGAATGACAAACAATGATGAAAAACGAGAAATGTAAAGCTCATCATATGTTTAAATCAATTATATCCTCAATATATTTATGTATATATTGTGTGATATAAGTGTGAATGAAGAGCTATATAAACCTATGAAAACGGAAAGGGATCAGGTCCAATAGATACAATTGGCTCTAGATGATCCTTTCCGTCTACGATGATGATGATGATGATGATGATAATGATGATGAAGAAGATGACTGATGAGCCTTAGGCCGTGAGATCATACGCGCTTTAGATGATAGCGAACAAAGAAAGAAAAAAGAAACAGATAATGTGAAACAAATTTGAGCAGTAGAGTTGATCTGAATTTCCAAGGGTTCACACGACTTTTATGAGATATGCAAACGGGAAAGTTGTCGATATTTACAACAAAATTAGCTTTTTTCTTTAGAAAACAGATATAATGGAGTGTTTCACAGATAACCCGTTGAGAATAGCCGGGATAATGACGGCAGCAAGAAGACCAACAAATTTCAAATATAGGGGTGCCTCAACAGCGATCACAGATGGTCCTGCTTGCCTCGTTGCATTGACTTAAACCGTGATGCTGTTCGACCAGAGTCATCTGGGATGAAAAATATTTCAGCAATCATAGTCTTTCATATGCCACGAAATATTTCACTAATATCTACAACAATTTCAGTTATCCGTCAGACGGGACAAAGCGCAGTAACGGATTGAGGGGGCGTATTTACTACGCCGATGGGTTTGGCTCGGAAAGCAGCAGAACTGTCCCATCGTTCGTGTCAGACGGTCCTCGAATTTTTGTCGCTTAGCCGCTTCAACTGCTGGTGGAGAATGGGCAGGAGGCGCGCCAAGCCCTTAGGACAGAAACGCCCCATCACTCGCAGCGAAAACATGGTATGTACCCACGGCAGGCAAATATCTCCTGAGCAGCTGGATGTGAGAGGTTTGGGTGGCAGTGGATAGAGAGGGGAGAGTACGTAGGTGCCAAACGATTCTCCTCCCCGTCGCCACGACCTGCTTGAACCCCCTTTCAAATCTTTGAACTCTCCAAATTCACGATTTTAGAAAGGGTAACAAAGAGAAATAAGGGCCGTAGGGATAGAACACGAGGACGAGCTGAAGGACGGGCTAGACCTCAAAAGGATGGAGCCATCAGGGCATTTTGCACTCGCCCTACTTCGTTTTGACAGCTCATGTTAACTAGTAGGTCCCCTTCGGTAAGATCTATAAACAGTTGTGAGTCTGCGAAATGATGCAAGTGAAGCACCTGCAGTTCTAGAAAGTTACAGGTCTTCACAACACCACTCATAGAAACTTACAGTCTTCACAATGTGGCCCCTACAAGCTTCGCCGAGTAGCATTTGGTGGCTCACCAAGCTGAACGCTGCCGCATTTCCAACGAGTGGCGTTCCTTCCACCTATGGCAACCGCACCGCTCTCACTACTCATTGTGGAGCAGCGGAAGTCGGGCAATTTCCAGGACAGTGGACCGGACTAAGTAATGAAGGGGTTCTAACTATCAGGCAATCGCGGAATGTGTCATTAGGTCTGCTCTCAATCTTATTTCTTCGCCAGAAATGTCAGTTCTGTACTTGAAACTAATCCCGTAATGAAGGCACCCCTCCCTTACTCTTTCAAAATCTTCTCAACAATCACAGCATAAATCATGTTCTGGGTTTCATTCCTAAAGTGGTAACCTCAACTTTTGCACAGCTCTCTTCGCTGCGAGCGCTGGGGCTTGATCTGGAGCGGCACTAACACGTTTTCACCCAATTGCTGAAGAGAGCAAGCGGCAATAACTGATGTAAAACGGGCTGGCCTTGCGCAGATGCCCTCTGATACGCCCCGGCATCCGCACCGAGTAGTACTATGAAAAGCTATGAGCAGGAGTTAAATGAACTTACAGCTGCTTTGTGAGAGTGCGCTTGCAGACACGCCCATTCGGGGGACAGTTTTCCGTTTAGGCACCTCACAATCCGACGTTTCACCGTCGGCTTCAGACGATCCGCCCTCTTCATCCATCATCAGTGATGAACGTTGGCTATCGTCATCTCGATTACCTTTTTGTGGACGAATACCTTCAAATGGAATAATACTCGTTCATTGAACTAAAAATTCAGGAAGATCCTAAGCTCCTAACCAAACCAACCCGTCGTCCTATTTCTACTTGTTGGTCTAACTTTCATCTCATCTCCAAACGCCATTCCGTCCGAAACGGAATCATATGGGTCTTCCATGTTCAGCATTCGCGGCAAATGTCGCCGAGGAGAACCCTGAAAGTAGTTCAGAGGTAACGAACACATGAATCGTTACGAGAAGGGTTACCCTCAAAATATTTACCTCATAGCCTATATCGGCCGGTGGTGGAGGGTTAGATGGGGGTGGAGGTATAAAGTCCATCAGAGTGTGTTTCGGCGGACTTCGGCGTCCAGCCAAAGTACCCGGTTTTGAGCGACCATTCGAGCTTTCACCAGTGCCATCAGAGGATTGGAACTAAATAAGAAAAATAAGTTTCCAAAGAAAACCAGTCCTTAAAAGAAAATGATTGTTTGAATTTTTCTTGAGGATAGTTAAGAGGCTAAAAGCCACTCGTCTCTTACAGGAACCGTTGGCAGCGTTCATACTTCGCGGCTGTTGCGCTTTCTCACGCTCTCGCGCGATCGATGCGCATGCTTTCGACTGCATCGATCGCGTCGAACGCGCGATCGAAGCGCTGCCGTCGCGAAGTCTGAACGCTGCCTCTGGAAAGCAAAGCTCAAGCGAAATCTTCCAAAGGCATCACCTCAAACTACCGGTAATTATTGCTGACGTACTATGAGAAGCATCTACAAAGCTTGCCACATCGGCACATCTTATTCTAGAATGAAACGGGAAAACGTCAACGATGTGGTTCTTGTCTCCGCCTTTAGGACCAACGCGGACTACTCCTTCAATTTTGGATTACTCTTTCGAAAACAAGCAACCAGCAGAAATTTCTTCGAAATACCCCATAGAAAAATAAGTGCGCTAAGGAGAATTAGCTGAACATTAGGAACCTGAACATAGCTGACGTCCGTGTGAGGCGGGCTATCCGAATGATGACTCGCTTGGCGATGTTCAGACGCTCGACTACCTCGGGAGCGACGACCCGTATGATCGGCGTACCTGAAGAGAAACCGACTAGAGTTAATCAACACGTAGAAGTATCGCACACGTGACCATTCGCAACTCCGTGCCGCTGCGACACGGACTTCCTGACACACATACCGCTGGAAGTGGTCTGCAGCCAGAGAACGCGTAAGTACGTAACGTGATACAGTACCTGGCAGGTGGTCCATTCGGAACTGGATTACTGGGAAGCACTGGACCTCTCAGCATACGATCGTTAAGCCACGATGGTTGCTGATTCGACATCACCAGCGTTGTCGTTGCGTACGGTGATGGATCGTCGTGATACTAAAAACGGTACAACTTAGTTCAAAAAGTACTCTTTTGTCACACGACGTCACGATGCCTGTCCAACATAAGGTAATTTTTTATGAAAGCGCTCTCGCATCAAAATGTGTTTTCCCACTTCCGAAGAAAAAGATTTCTCACTTCGAAAAAAAACCTCCGATTCACAGGCGCATACCTGATTTCCGTAGAAAGTGCTAAGCGTATTTCCAGGTCCACCAGCCAGTTGTGCATAATGATAGTGATGTTCAGAACCAGGTCGATTCATGGTCCCAGCACCCATGTAGTCATCACATGGACCATGGAAGAAATCGTGCTGATTCGGTGTTACCGAGTAAGGCGGATGAGCAGTTGGACATCTTAAACAGTAAAGTTTATTAATGACTACACTCATTGGTTAATTGCTGTGAAATTTCCTCTAACACAAACGGTACACACACTGCGCAGGACTGTGGTTCTTGCAGTTCATACCTGCGGTAGCGGTCCACTTTCTCCGGGAACGAGGCTGGAGGCTATGATACCCGGGTGCCGTTTCCATTCCCCGTCGCGTTATATAGTACGCATGAAACCAGGAAAATCACCGAAAGTTAAACACTACTCTTAGAAAGCACGCAAAGTAAATACGCCCTCCCCCCCTCCTTTTTTTTACAACGTCTGTGAAGCGAGAAAAATCTACTATTAAAATGAAGTTTTCTCAGCCCAAATACGACCTCCCCCTCCCCTGGCGGCCTACGACCCCCTGTTGGGGATTCCCCAACAACGATGTGCCCTGATTACTAATCATAGCCAAACGCGTTATCTGTCTGCGCCCTCTCACTTCTGATTGTTCTCTACCGCTGAGCGCGTGTTTCGCTGCGGGATCTTAGTTTCCACGCAAGTGATGCACCTTGAGGGTAGCGCGGGCGGAGTATGGAGACGGACTCGGGTAACGTCACCTTCCAACTCGCTCCCGTTTTAGAGCGGAGAAAGTGGCACGCCGCTGCATCTGCGGACCCACTGGTCTCGCACATGAAAAGTACCGTCCTCGGAGGTGAAAGCCCTGTTGCCCCTGCTGACCCCCTTCTAAAGTTCTCCAAATTTCAGCATGGGCAAGAGTACCGGAGAATTTCGGAAGGGGGTTAGAGGAGCTGGCAGTTCCATAACCTTCTGGAGAACCACAGCGCCTTCCTCAGCAGCAGTAAAAGAGATACAATGCTTCTCTGACTCCGCCCATACAATCAACAAGGACTAGGTCTCCAACTGTGAGCAACAGAAGATACTTTCACATACCGATTGTTCAATGTCATTCGCCCTGCCGTATTATAGGGATTATGATCCCATATTCCATTTTGAGTCATATGAACGGATCCATCATTAATTTTAATAAATGTTCGATCCTGAAACTGTATCCATTCAGGTTCTTCGACACGCTGAAATAATCAGCAAACAATTGCACATGCACATGCATCAGTCACAAAAAGCAGCATTATTATTAGCACACCGTACAGACGTCTATCTAACTTACCTTGGCGTTTTTACTGTTTTTATAATACCAGAATACAAATATGGCGACCAGAATCAGAAACACGCATACAAGTAACATTACTAGTAGAGCGAACCATGACTGACGTGATAATGAGTACAAAAATGATTCTTGTTCACTGTGCAGGCTCAGATGCTTGTCAAGAGTTTCTTGATCTGAAAACGTCAACTTTGAGATCACTATTGCACTTCTAACAAAGGGAGATGAGAGGGTTAGCATAACTGGGTGATGAAGAGGAGCCCGATAAAAAGTCACCGGCGCGATAGTACTGTTTTAGCGGCAGCGCGGCGCTGAAGCGCATGTGTCAGCGCCTCAGAACGGCACTACAAAGGCAAAGAACCCGCTTGTAGTTTGCCACAAACATATTTCGAGCCAGGCAAATAATGTTTTCTTAGCTGCGAACGCTGGGATGTTTCAGTGGGGGGGGTGAGCGTGGGTGGGTGCCAGCCCGTTCTTCGCCAATTGAAGAAGCTGTAGGCAACCACAACTCGTGGAATTTGGCCACCGCCTCGTTAAACTTGCCCCCCCCCCTTCGGAAGCATCAGCGTACGCAACAAGTCTCTACTTCTCAGAAGATCGGACTCATTTTTATTGCAAGTTCGATGGAAACTATTAGTAAAATTCTGGCTAGCCTTTGTTTGGCGCCCCATCGCGATATAACTATGCCTCATTCGGCACGCGCCGTCGGTTAGTTTTTCTGTCATCAGGGAAGCACCGACGCCTTTTCTGCTAAGGGTCAGGGAACTTGTTCGGCTTGGGAGGGGCACTTCGCACTTTTGCTACTTCCTATTGATAGTTTCTCTGAATAAGACGCCACATTTTGATGAGACCTGTAGACTCCTCTCAAGGGCGAACGAAACTCATGCTATCCCATAGCTTTACACGAATTAATAAGCTGCCAAAGGAGGAATTCACAGTGATCGATGGGAACCAGCAAAGAGCCTCCCCTTCCATGCGGAACTCTTAGGCTCATGTTTATTCTCAGCTGAGCGCATGATTGAAGAGCAAAGGAACAAAGTGCCACAGAGTCTAGCAGAACGAAAACAGTATAACAGCCGGATATACCTCTCTACTCGAAAAATAATCGACTTGAAAAGTTGCTCCATGAAAAGCCCATAACAAGAAATTCAGAGCAAAAAAAACGAATCTAATTCCCTCAGTAGAAAATTACTCAATACTTACTCATAGTAACGGTATCCGTGCCATGACTAACACCAATACCAGCGTTGGTGCGCGCTGCAACTCGGATTTTGTACGTCATACCAGGAATCAGATGGAATAGCGTCACACTAGCCGCTCGTTCGTTTGTTGTAATATTTCGATTGAATTTGGTGCCTTTTCCCAAGATTACAATCTGAAGGAATCCTATTGAATTCAAATTGAGACGGAAATAATAAAACAATAAATGGATACAGTATTTATACAGACGGGCTAGAATTACCACGCTGTTCCGATCATGACGTAATAAATCAAAAAAGTGAAGAATAAATCGAATAGCTTTTCAGTAGTACTGCCTCTTGCAGGACGAAGGAATCAATGGTTGTGGGTGGCAGCTGATAAATGCTGAAGCCTAAGGTAAGTGGGAAACATCTTGGGGATGTGTCAAAACCATGCTAACACGACACCACAACTTCCCCTCCCCCAGTAAAAATACCGTGGGTAATGCCACCATTTCTCCTATACCTTCTAATGTTTTCAGGAGAAATTGACCAGTTTTCTCTGTTAAACGATAGTGTGGGGGAAGGGGATGTTTGTTGAAAGCAGGTAAACCAGGAAGATTCAACAACCAAAAACAATCTTCCAAAGGGACATAGGGGTAATACAACTAATAGCCCCCTCCTGCGGGGACCAAATGCGACCTCCGTCGCTAAACAGTCCCAAAGTACAACGTACGGCAGCATTCAGGACTTGCCATAACGCGCGTCGATGCGCAATGACGCGCTATATCGCGCGTCGTCGCGCTACAGATACAACAGCGCTCCAAAGCTATAGACGCATAGAGCCGCAGACGGCCCTAGACGATCGATTTCGCCCTCAAACGCTCGATCGATGGACGGCGGCAGCTTGTGTTATAAGAGAGTATGGGGAATAGAACGGGGTGTTGCCTAGTCAAGCAGACTGGTTATTGCTCGGCAGTGTTCGTCTGCGGCTGCGGCCGCGTCTATAGTTGTAAGGCGCTGTTGTAGTTGAAGCGCCACAACGCGTGCTACAGCGCATTACAGCGCGTCGTCGCGCGTTAAGACGTGCGTCATGGCGAAGACTGCGCCTACTATGTGAGAGGGACACTCTCAATGCAAAAATAATGATAACATCATATCTGCTAGAATCAGTCATACAATTTGAAGACCGTGAGTTTCAGGACGCTCTATAGCACGTATATTCTAGAGGCTACTGGATACAATTGATGAAAAAAAGAAAAAGAAACATGGAAGAATAAACTACTGTGACAAACCTGGAAACCTTTCAGAATGCCATTCATTCCGTCAGCCGGCGGTGCTCTCCATCCAATACGAAGAGTGGTAAGATTCAACATTCGGATATGCACGTCCGATGGCGGTAATGATGGCGCTGAACGAATATCATTACTAAAGAACTACAAGAGTAATTCATTTATAGGGTCAAACCTTAAAATCGAACGTAAAGAATAGAACATAATTTTGACCCAAAATGGAATGTGGATGGTGCAAAAAAATAGCCCAGCTAACCCGCCCATAAGGACGGCGAAGATTGCGTATTTAAGTTCCATGATACATTTAAGTGATGTTCATATTACTGAGTAATTCGAAGGATACACCATGGCAAGTAAACCTTGAAAGATATGATAGTGGGCAAACATTACCTGAGGCACTTGGCACGATAAATCCCCCAAGACGAGTAGGATTAATACGCCTGGCAGGACGGAATTCCGCGACCCTGAGCAGGCGCTGCATAATGCCTTTTCCAAGGAAGGTGCCCTTATAAGGGCCACAACATTCCGACCCAAACGCCCGCCACGCCGCCGCCGCCGCGGAGTCCCAACGCGCCCGCCCACAAATGGACGACCGTTCCTGACGCTCGTATTCATTCATTTGCTAAGCAAATTATGAAGCGAAGGGATTGGTATGAAGCGGCCGTGATGCTGCATGCATACATGGGTACACATATGCAGCCGTATCTTCGGTAGCGGTTATTGGCAAGATGCCTACGGGAAACTCGTCCAAAATTGATTTTGAACACATTGAGAACGGAGGCTCTTTCTTCGCAGGATTTTGACCGTTTCACTCCGTTCTTTCGCCATTTCCCCACTATACAGCGCCCTACTAGCATTTTAGGCCGAGCACCAAATCATCGTGCCAACTGCCTTTAAGTTTCAGAGGCGGGGCTCACCTTGAGTAGCAGTTACTACTGGTGTTTCATTTTTCGGGAACAATTTAATTGTATAAAAATAATGAAAATAGAAACTATCACGTTGTTATTCTACTGTTCAGTAACACTTACGAGCTTCAGCTGTTAAAGCATCCATGGAGTTACTAGGGGCACCTTGAATGGATTTATGATACGGTATGACGAAAAATTCGTAGTTCGTAAAAGGCATTAGGCCATTGACAACGTACGATTCCACATGTGCACCACTAACATTTACCCATCTGAAATCACTCGAAATTACTTTGAAAGTAAGAAAGCCTTAGAGAGAAGATAATTAT